AAGGGAAACCGATTCAACCTGAGCGAGCGAGAGAGCAGAGTGTGAAGAGACAAGGAGGAGGAGGGAGGGATAAACTAGAGAGGCTGGGCTCAGGGTGCAAAGGAACTGCAGTTTGGAAGGTTATGTTATTCAGCCAGGGATTCTAATTAAAACTGGGGTATCTCGTTTTCAAACTACAAACCAAACAGTTTAAGATTAAGATTAGGAGATCATTTATTCAGAGTTGCATCACAAGTTACAACAGTAAGCAGAAAGTGTACTATAAATAATACTATAAATGAAATGAAACTTTATCTTAAGCTTAATAAATAAATTATAAACCTGTATTCACGAGTCTTGTGTAAAGCCATGGTTTGTTTTTTCACTATTTTTCACGTGCATGTATTGTTATAGGCCTTTGTCATATCTTTAGATCAGTTTTTTCAGTCAGAAAGGTGAGAAAAAAGAGGACCACTGCCACCCTGCCAATCAGCTCTCAGCCCAAAGTGTCAAAAAGTGATTCACAAGGCTGAAAGTCTGCAAACGATAGCATATATTCTTGATGAAGGCAGTAGATGGCTGATTAGTTCACAATATTTTACTTTCACGAGACAAATAACACGCATTATTCATATGAAAAGGTTAGATACCCCAGCTTTAAATGGATTTGATTTACAATGGGGCAAAGTTTCATGAAGGCTTGTGGTCCTTTTTATCATTGTGTGCACATGGAGTCAATACATCATATTTTTTTTGATCAGTGGGTGTCTACTATACACAAAATAGGCATTTGTCAATTATCATAAATACAGTACACTGTGTTTTTGAACCCAACACAGCCAGTTCAACTTTTGATGCTTCCTATTCGGCCCAAATGAAGGAATGAGGGGGGCTATATTTATGAGGTATATGCAGCGTCCATAGATAGTAACTAAAAAGCTGTAATAACTTCAAAAGATATTTGCAACAAAAAAAAAATTGTCAAAACGTTGCATTCCTCTTGCTACAATCTTCAACATGTTTTGTCATTGGCAAATTGAAAGAATTTGCTTTAGAAGGGGTGAAACGTTATTTGTAGGGCTCTAAAACATATTTGGAATTTTCAAAAACTACTCGGTAAAAGGCAAATTGTAAGCCTTCCAAAAAATACTAATGTCACTTATCTGTTTTTGCAAATTCACCATTCACTTATAGTATTTTCTCATTCATTCATCAGATTTACCTTTAATCACAGCCTCAGTTCATTTACTGCTTTTTGACCGCGCAAATGATGTCACTTCGTCTTCCCATTCATATAAATGAGGCAGCCTGACACGAGCACCTGACCGCTTACGCGTCAAACAGCGCCCTCCAATGGACAGTAGAAGTATCTCACACAGAGGAGATGTCCAGAATGACCAAGCCCAACCAGTAAAGCTAAAAACAAGAATGACCTCATCAGTGTTAGGGAAAAACACAAAAAAGTCCCAACGCAGAAGTGACAGGGCTCAGCTGTGACGCACTGCAAGCCTCTGACCACTGCCCTTTACTGCGGCCACATGTGGATGCGGAAAGAGGAAATCCACAGAAATAAACCTTTTGAGTCAAAATCATCCTTTTATGGGACCGCAAATGTATGGTCTTGGTTATGATAGTTTTGTAACACTGCGTAATTGTTATGTTATAAGTAACCTCAGAATTAGAATTATTGTTGTCGTTTTAAGTAACTGGAAATCGCTAACTAGGAATTTGCTTTGGCTCAATCCAATCCACTTTATTTATATAACACATTTTATACAACAAGTTTCCAAAGTGCTGCACAGAGATAAAAGTAATACATTTAAATATACAGGTTTGCCAGTTTTAAGTTTGTAAAATATAAGTAAAACATTATGTGCAAAGTAAAATCAATACAAATTTAATCAAAAAATACCAATTATTTAATAACAAAAACTAAAAGGAATAAAGGAATTATTTTAGTTTTTCAAAGTTGCTTTAAAAATGACTTCTTTCCCATAGAGTTGTGTAGGCATCTGCCCTCTTATATAATAGAAATTATTATTATTCTATAAATAGAATTCTCAAACATGAATTCAACCTATTTTTGTTTTTCCACATTATTCTACAGGAGACAATAAAAAGGCTGAACCTGTGTTTTTTTATTTATTCCAGTCCCCGCAGTACGAATATATACTGTATGTATGTCACTGGCCCTGCATCATGATAACTATGTATCACTTTCTTTATACCTTCATTTGATCTTATCTTAATGGAGGGTTTTTCTACCTCTTTTTGCTTATATGTGATCAGTTATTGTTACATGTTGTATCCATAATTCACACTTCAAAACAAGCTATTGTGACAGGCCCTTCCATGTCCAAGTGTGTGCAGTCGAAAGTGTCACGTGTCAGATCTGTGGAGGTGCGTCCTGGTGACAACGTGGATTGAAGCTGTCAGTTCACTTTGTCACAACAGACCCAGTGTTTCCTGTGAGGACTGTATAATGACAGAGATATGCATTTATACTTCTCAATGGTTACTTACTTGTATTGCTGTAATAACACAATTTTATTACCGGTGTTTCATTTCACTCTCAAGATAATCTGTTCAATTCTACGGCTGTTAGAGGAAATTTGTTTTTTGTTTTTAACCAAACCTGGACCAACAAAAGCTGAGACTGTGAAAGAGCCACAATTACTCCTGAAGGACATCGAATTGTTTCTATTCTATTCATTGTTTCTATTCAATGTAACAAACTGTTACATTTAGTCAGTGTGAAGATGTTAGCTTTGTTTTTGTCAAATAAAACAAAAAATCAATACTCACTGACCTTTCTGGGTCCAAACAACTAAATGAATAATCAATAGAAGAATCACCCAAAAATAATGGTTCATTACGGCTCTAAATTCTAACCTTAAAAACATCTCTTAAAGTGACAGTACTTTTATCTGTAGTTACATCATCCCTGCCAAAGGTTTGTAATATTTTGGAGAAACAAGGCACTCATTGCTATTCCATAAAAAATGAATTCATCTGAATCATTATAGATATTTGAACTATATTAACATTTTACTTTTGTATATTTCCCTCTATATTATGCATCTGGCCTCTGTATGTTCCTTGACATTTGCACATATGAGGAGGCCCATACAGAATGCTGAGTGACATTCTCTATTTGACAGCCTATCAGCTCCAAAACACTCCAGGCGAGCGCTGCGATCTAATAGTGCAGCGAAAGTAATGAATACCACCAAGGGTTATGTTCTTTTATGAATTATATTAACTCTCAAGCAAACAATTGTGTTCGTTATCAAAACTCTATTCGGATCCGGGAGAATGGAATTATTAAACAGGCTGAACTGTTCCGCAGGGTAAAGCGGCGATGCGTGAAGTCAAACCGACGCTCTTTTCTCAATATTGGATTTGTATGATTCTGAATTAAAATAGGATGTTATCCGCTGCAGGCCTGTTCAGTGTTTCGCAATTCCTTCAAAGCACAATTGGAACGTGACTTTTTCTACATGACTGATTTAGGCTTTGTTAGATTTGCTTTGGTACATGTTCAACCCCTTTCTTGGCCTCCACTCTTTTTGATTGAACTATTAATAAAAGCCCTGACATTGTATAATTGAGGTAAATGATCTGTTATTCTTTCTTTGAACGGTGTTTTTGTAAAAAATCTCCACAGACTAAGCAACCATGTACTTATGTGGTGTCACTCACAATCCTTCAAGTATTTGGGAAGCGTAGCCAAGAGACATCCCCGTGGGCACGTATTGAATTGCAGCTGTGTGTGTAAAACTCTGACCTGTCCGGTGAACTTGAAATGCTTTTTATACAGCAGTTATGGTTTAGGTCCGGTCTGCTTGTGAAGACGCGCGGTACAGGATAATGTTAACCACTTGAAGTAAATAGGGAAGTCGTTTGGCTGCAGAGCTCCAGGGTCTGGGTTTTGTCCAGCTGCACCGGTTTGTGGCAAATTGTGGCCTCCCCCAAAAGGAAACTGCTGCAGACAGGAGCGAGTGGAGCAAGTGGGCATGGGTGAACAGACAGAGCAAACAGAGGGACAAGTGTGGAGAGCTAAGTGGACAGCAAAACAAAGACAAAGCCAAGAGGGAGAGGAGAAGACAAAGGTTCTTCAAGACAGCTTTGATCAATGACTCTTTATGACCTGTTGTGTTAATGCTGGATGCTCTCGATTGGGACAAGCAGGTGGCAAGATATTATCCACCTCTATCATTGATCTGATTCTCTAAATAATACATGCAGGATCAATAAGCACAAGACGAAATATGGACATGACAAGGGGACAGAAATTTCCTAACAAAAAATCATACAAGGCGTACATAGAGTAAGAGTACATAGAAAATTAGTACATAGAATCCCTCAGTTGTCTGCACAGTTTTCAGTAGAAGCCTGTCTCACATTTTCAGGAAGTTTCAACTCTCGCTTCTCAGTTAGAAGACTTTCCTGGTTAAATAAAGGCCAATCAAATCAAAATGGTAAGATTTCAAATATAAAGCTCATTTGTGTTGTTAATTACAGTTGCTATAATGCTTTCTCATAAACCAAATTCCCATAAAAACTAAGCCGGTAGTATTCAGGTCCAATACCCTCTTTAAACTCCAAACTTGGCTCAAATGTCAAATTGTCATTGTTTATAGGTTTCTAAAGATTGAACCAATGTTAGTTTGGCAGTCGTCAGTAGTAGTAGTAGCTTGGGGTAGATCCGATTCCACATGTAGTGTTTTGTTCTGGAGAAAGCCTAATTGTCACTCTCCCTTAAAAGAATATGGAAATAAGTGTCCATTAAGTGAAGCAGTGATACTGGTGCTCTGGGCTTAAGCAGCTCTCAGACTGGCCTTCACAAGAACATCTCAGTCAACCGTTTGCACAAACAACCATTGTCCCGCGAGCCGTGGAGCCGGCCGTATCCCGTTGCACCGCGAGGTCCTTTTGTAAAGAGACTGGAGCTGAAAAGAGATGTAACTCAAGACGCACCCAGGCCTTGATTTAGTTGTCTGTGCTGCATTTGGAGGTGAATGCCACTCCCTGAGGTGCACACAGACATCACAAACCTGCTGCAGCCTACGTGGCACCAGCCCAACGCCAAAGCTCCGGTCATAGTCCAACGCTGCCATGAAACGCAATACACTCCACATTCAATGGCTGCTACGTTATGGGACCCTTCCACCCCCTTTTACAGAGAGGCCACTGGGATACCCCGTGTCTCTTTTGCCATCTGGTTCCCAGTTTCTGCGGCTCTTCCCATCGCGGAGCAAAAACCACAGTGAAACCGGATCACTTTCACAGTCAAGATCGGGAACTGGAGCCGAGGTTCTTAAAAGGGGTCTGAATGGTGAACACTGTTGTCCTCTTCTGTTGAGGCCTATTGTGGCGTTTGTTATTGTGCTCTTGGAAGTATGTTCTGTTGTGGTGTATCTGAGGAGCTTTTGTGATTTGATACAAGAGATTTGTTTGCACTCTGACCAGGTCACAGAGGCAACATATGTACATGACAGAAATATAGGAATGACTTCTCTCCAAAAATGACAATGAGTTTTCCCTTTGGAGATGGAGATCAAAGACAGCGCTAACAAGGAACTTCACTGCCATGAAAGATCCTTTTGATGTTGTTATGGGGAACTTGAGAAAACTGAAGGTCACTTTAGGAACAGAGGAAAATACAGATGTAATTGTTCTCATAGATATTTCAATGGAGGTTAGATTTTGAATTTACACTTATTCTGATATTGCTCTTGAGTGAAGGGATGCAAAGATTATTAGATTAATATCCATCCATCCATCCATCCATTTTCTACCCTTTAATCCATTTCTGGGTCAGGGGGGTGGCAGTCAGAGATGCCACCCAAGTCTCATAGCACCAGCCCCTCACTGACCCTCTGCAGGTGGTGAGTCCACAGGAGGACGGCTGCTCACTGAGTGTGAGCATAGCCTTGATCTTTCAGTGTCTAATTATTAGATTAATAATAAGTTATTATTCAGGACAATAATTGTACAAACTGAAAAATTGTCAAAGTCAGAATTTTCGGGTTAGGATTATCAATTGTTCTACAATTTATTTTGCTGAGACGAGCATGCAGAGTTGTATTCCGCGACAATAATATTGTGAAAGTCAATTTGAAGATTTGCTTTTTTTTATTATCGTCCTTTTTCTTTTTACATACATATTACAATTAGAGAAGGACAGATGCCCATTTGGTCTAACGTGTGCCTAAAAAGCCAATCACTGCTTTATTTGTACATTTCAGTAAATATTGAGCGAGCCTTTTTGGATGTGTTCTTCTTTCTGTGTTACTTGAATTTGATTTTTAATGTCAATATATGTTTGTGCATGTTTTGCAAAGAAGTGTGAAGCTTCTATTTATATCTACACTGTCTGCAGTATGTAGATGCCCTGGCAGCAAAACATTACAGATCATTTTGTGTAAAAAAATGATTGATTTTAAAGATATTGTGACAATATCGTTATCGGGAGTTGGAAAAAAATATCAAGATATTTATTTTTGTCCATATCGCCCACCCCTAACTCCAAGTGTACTCAACAACAGTATCTTAGAGGACTGCGCTGGCATTTGGTTCCCATTAGAGGAAAATTGCATCATTGCTTCATGTGCAAAAGTTATTGCAGACTTATATGGTCAAATCAACATCATTTTACCATCTTCAAGCACTTATAAACTTGGAAGATATATTGTAAACGACAATCAAAATTCTAGTACATTTATGTTTGTTCTGTTCTTTGGTTGATAATTGGGAATATTTGTTTAAGCGTTGTGTTTTTTCTCACAAGAAATGTATTTTATTTGAAATGTGAGCTTCCTAACTGGGTAAAACTTGATTGATTGCACACAATGTTCACATATAGAGTATATTCTTATGTCTCTTCATGTAAGATGCATTATATTTTTGTTGTATTCTTTCACCACGGGTCTAAATCTGGTCTCTGCCCGAGGGGAGACTTCCACTGACTGTCTGCTTTGGTTACACTTAATCACATACTCATGGTTTTGAGACATTTGATCAAGTTAAGCCCAATTTCCAGAAACTACATGGCTGTATTTTAAAGGAAACAATTACTGCGAGAGGCCTCTGCTCTGCCTGCGTAGGTCTGTGCTGTGATGGCGTTTTGCCCTGGCGGTCGGATCGTTTTCAGATAAGCTGACGTTAATGCGTTGTGTATTTCTTCTGTTTTCTGTTGCTTGTTCGTTGGACAGAGCCACATGTGGAAAAAAAATGGTCTGTTCGCAAGTGTATAGCCAGATCTTTTCTTCAACAGTCTAAGTTCAAAGCCATCCAAAGTGTATGCATATGTTCCATGTCTTATGCACACAAGACAAGACTACTCAATTTTTCTTAAATTTGATTTTGAAAAATAATTTGATGGCTAGAGCGGGTGAAAAATATTGTTCAAAAGTTCATTTACTGTAATTTTGTCTCATTACATGCAAAGTGAGATATATCACGATTGTATTTGTTTTAATGTTAATAATTGGCTCACAGCTGTAAAAAGCCAAGATTAGACATAGAATATTTTGAAAATGGTCTGTAAACCATAATCATCAAAATTAGATTAGATTAGATTCAACATTATTGGTTTAACATTTTAATTTTAATTTTTAGAAATGTGTTAACTTTTTCAGTATATTCCAATTTTCAGAATTTTACAAGTATACAAACTGTCAATATATGAGTCGACAAACGTAAACTGCTTAAAAATTCATAAAACCTACGACTAAAGTAACTGGCAAAATCCAATTTTGAAAGAAAATAAAAGGAAAATCTAAACATTTGTCGACATTGTTCCAAGAAATCTGCTTGTACAGTACAGAGCCTGTACTTTTGGAGAAAAAGTACATAGAATTAGCAAACCTCGCTGCATGGCTATGACACACATGGCCTCGTCAAGCTTTAAACCAACCAAACATGTCGCTCCACCGTTCGAGCAGATGATATTTGCTTGTCTTTCCTCTGGGTCCTCTTCCATTTGTCCCTGCTCTTGTTGTGATTCGTTGCAAAGCCGCTGGTGCATTATCGTTGCCCTAATAATACGTCTGTCATGAATAAACAGGAACAATCTGCTCTTTTGATCTGAAGCAGCAGCCATTCTTCAGTTCCTTTTGTGGGTCAGCTCACATCCCTCTCCTCCTCCTCGTCGCTCCCTCTATTTATCCGACCCGAGTGTTCGTCTTGCTGGACCCTGTAATCATCCTGGACCTGCAAGAGAGGAACAAAGAGATGGAGAGGAGGTGGTGGTTTCGCCAGTGTGCACTAAAAGGTAGTGTGGGAAGAGGGTTATATGAAATTTAGTTGAAAGCCACGATTTTATCAGTCGCTACTTTTATTTAATTTTAAAGTTGTAGGAGAAGTTCATATTTCAATCTTCCATCAATTATAATATCATTGCCTGGTGAGGCTTAAAGTACCTGAACTTGTTAGATTTAAATATGTATGAAGATTTATTTGCTGATTTGCCCATGGTGTATCTTATTGTTTGAAAACATTTCTGACAAGTTACAACAATCTTCAGCATCCTTTAAGACACTTTAGTTATTCATTCTATGGTCATATTTACAGTCTGAAAGGGTTTGACGCAAAATATCGGATCTCTTTCAAGTAAAGTGCAGAGTGTGCTTGTTTGGTGCAATCATTGCAAGATAGGTGAAAACATAATACACATTACAACGACAACTGTCAACTTTATTGTCATTACAAAGTCGGAACAATCCAACGAAATGCAGTTTAGCGTCTAACCAGTAGTGCAATAGTGCAAGTATAGGATATTATTTACAATATTTACATACATGTATACAATAGGGAATGACCAATTTGAATTGTTTTGGAACTTGGGAATTTTTTTTCTCCTCTTCTGATTACTAATTTTTCAGACTATTTCATGTATGCCTTTTCTGATTTTTGATGTTGGTTCAAAGATCAATAGCCAAAGATCAGCAATGCTCATACTTTATTTCATGAAATACTTGTTTAAATTGTAAAAAAAGCATTCAAATTGTCGCTAGTACATGAAATTTGCCTATGAGTATTTCTTCCATCATTGAACTAAACTTTGGTTAGCACAGTGGCTGAGTGGATAGCACTCTCGCCTCTCAGCAAGAAGGTCCTGGGTTCGAATCCTGGTCGGACCAGGGCCTTTCTGAGTGGAGTTTGCATGTTCTCCCCGTGTCTGCGTAGGTTTCCTCCGGGTACTCCGATTTCCCCTACTACCACTAAAAATATGTACAGTAGGTCTGGCATGCGCCTCCTGTTCGGCGACCCCGCTCTCATCTCTGTGTGGAGTGAGAGACAAATGCCCAAAAAAATAATAACAATTGTAAACCGCTTTGTGACTCTGGTCTGTGAAAGGCGGTATATAAATAAACATTACTTACTTACTAAACTAATTGAAAACGACTGAAAATACAATCTTTTTCAGTCCTAGTGGGGAGGACATGGGGCCATAATCTCAAACGGGCATTTTATTTTCAAATAAAAGTTAAAATTTTCCCTAGTACATTGATTTTTGCCAATGAGGTAAGTCTTTATTCCATCATAGAACTAAACCAATTGAAAACAACCAAAATTATTATTATTATTAAGTCCAGTCCAATAGTGGGGAGGACATGGGGGCCACAGTCTCACACAATCGCTCTCGCAGCAGCCCTGACACAGCTCCTGCCCAAACCCAAACCACATATAATTTACATTCCTCGGCTAACCTGAGCACAAACAGGACGATCGAAAACAGGTGTGCTTTGCGACAGGCCTCGTCTTCCTCCTTCTCTCTGTTATGTGTTATGTCCTGCTTTGAAGTCAGCTTATGTTGGCTGGACGCGCAGGTCAAAAGCACACGCGTGGACCTGCGGGCGATACAGTGATTGGAGATGAGATGTTGTCAGGGAACATCACAGTTTGGAGGATCAGGAGGGAGATAAAGTACTCAAGGCGACCACACGATTGGATCATCTGTCCTTCTTTGTTCACTGAATGTGTGTGAGTTTTTGTCTCAAATTGTGTGGACTTTTTACTGTCATGTAATGGCCCAGCTTTGAAGGAGGAGTAATCTTGCCAAAATTGGTACTGCACCCTGTCTCTCTCTCTCAGGTTGCCAGATATGCAGACGAATCCAGCTGGGACCATGATATCTAATCAGGAGTCCCCAACTTTTTTTCAATAAGAGATCTACTTTCATACAACAGAAGAGGCAGAGAGCTACTCCTTTTTGCGGTCATAATACAAATCTATGTAATAATGATCACAAAACATAAAAAAAAAACAGATGTAAAAATTACCATAATACTGTATGGCCCAATATTTACACGTATTATAGATATGTAATGACTCAAAAGTGAATCATTCAAGAGCATGTGTTAAATTCTAAATTCTTTGGGGAGCTATCTGAAAGGGGCTGGCGAGCTACTGGTAGCTCCCGAGCTGCAGGTTGGAGTACCTTGATCTGGATAGTTTTGTCAACAACAAATCTACAACCAACATCATTTTCACAAAGATAGAAATCCTGGTTTTAATCCTTGTTATCAGTTAGAGAAGTATTGGAAAAGAGCATGGTTTATTAATGTCTTTTGACAGATTAGGGCGATTTAATGAAGACATGACATGAAAATCTTACATATTGCTACTTTAAAGAGTCAATATGCAATTTAATATGCAGGGGAAAGTTGATATTTTTGCATGTTTGACCTTGTAGTGACTTAGTAGCTGTAAGAGTGGTCAGCAAGGCCCCTTTACTTTCCATCACTTGTCTCTCTGATGCTAGAGGGTCAATTGCTTGGAAGGATTTCGTAACCAGGAAGTCTACAAAACAATTGATCCTGGAGCTCTGTAGATGATTATCAAAAGTTGAGGCACTGTGCTGCCCACTCTTATCCCTAAATACACCAAAAATATCTACTTTTTCCCCATAAAAAGTCACATAATGCATCTGAGTTCACATTTAGTTGAGTTGAAGCAGCCTCTGATGCACTTTGGGCTGAGTCATATTGATGCTAGAAATATGATTGCACTAAACAAGTACACCCTGCACCTTATTTGAAAGAGATCAGATATGTTTTAAGGACATACTGGGGGACACTGGGGCTGAGTGGGTAGTGCTCAGGCCCCACAGGAATAAAAACTGTTGCTTTCCGTGCTGACCCAGGCCTTTCTTTGTGTGGTTGCTTTTCTGAGTCTGGGTTTATTTCCTGTGGACATTTTATTTCCTCCACCACTCAAATACATTGACCATGATATCTTTCAGCGAATCTCCTGACCAAACCGAGCACCAACACCTGGAGATGGTCCTGACAGCTCCTAGCACTAGTGACATTGCAGGAGGGGTCAAATGCAGAAGAAACTGAAGATGTACCTACATGGAGACTACATATATTTTAACCAATTATTATTTGTGGGTGAGTTTTTCAAGGAGGTGCGAAGATGAGTTCTTCTGAAGCAAGTATAATTTTAATAATTTAACTTAAGATTAATGTAATTGTGCTCATCTTATCTCAAATTATAATTACAATAGGTATGCCAAAGGTATTGTGTTTTCTTTACTTTACCGGTATAGTTGGCTCATTAATTGTCCCCCCCACAGTGATTAAAAACATACAAAATACACTGTGGCAGGTCATTTTTGATCCAAGGGTAGCACAAGGGTTAAACAAATATTTAGATGGTTTCACTGGTTTTTTGTGTAGTGTCTCGCAAAACTTGATAATTTAGTGTTTGATTTCTGCTCTGTGACTCTAAATGAGAAAAAAAACATGTTTATTGTTGAGTTGAATGACGATTACATTAAGTAAATAAGTTCAAATGTATCCTGCCCGTCTTACTTTGTGAATTATATAATTTTCTAACGCTGTTAAGTCTCCAAACTTCCGGTGGTCCGTGGGAGATTAATGGACAGTAGTGCATGAGACAAGTGGGAGACAACAGCTCGACAGTGACTCTGTGTCTAACAGTAAACGGAACAAAGACGTCTGTGTGCCTGTTTATGCCTCCACATCGGGCCCATCTTAAAATGCAGCGGCTGCTCTGTACCCACCGAAACCGCTGCCCTTCATTCCCACTGCTTAAGCGCCTGTGTGGGTTTATCACAGAGAAGCGAGAGAAGGAGAATTAGAATGATATGTACTGTATAGGTGACATACACACTTTAAAGAGGTTTTTTTTCAGCTCGTTTCAGCAGATTTTTCCTTCACACGTTTATTTCCCGGTTATTTTTGGAGTAATTTATGCACATTTGAGAACGTTCCCTTCACTTCTTAACATACGCTGCTATGTTTCCCCTTAATCTATGATGCATGGAGGGTTTGGCACCAGAGCACAGGACTTCTGATATGTGCAATGAAAACGAAAATGAAAGTGTGATATTTGCTCTTTTTATTTCACATAAAACCTGAGATATTTATATGAATTACAATCATGTAGCTATAAGCCGTCACAATAATTACTATATTAACTTATCGTTCAATAATTGATGGAAGGAACATTATATTCTGGGGTTCAGTGTTTATCGTCTTTGTATTTTCTTCTACATTTTATATTTTTTTTTGTGATACATGTACAATAACATTTTATCCATGTTCAGAACATGGAATAAGTCATTTCTTAATTATTCTTATCTCTGCAGGTCTTTTGATGGGATTCTGCTGTTATATTGTAATTTTTTAGTGGCATAAAAGTAGTTCCATTGTTATTGTTTATCGCAATGATCTGAAGCGCAACGGCAAATAAAAACATGTTTCAGTGACAGACATATAGCAGTCAAAAGTCCAATACGTTTTCCTAAACACAACACATTCAAATATTCAGGAAGTGGAGAAAAATATGTTGAGATAAATGTAACATATATTAAAAACTACAAAGATCTCTATAACCGAAAGAGAGAGAAAGCAGAGAAAGAGGCTGGAATGATGTGGGCAGGACTGAACATTGTTGCTTATCAGAGGGGACCTGACGCTACAAGTTGACTACCCTTTATTATCCTTTTACAGGCAAAACACGCGCGTGTCAAACACCCCTGTACAGGCGCTCTCGGCCGTTAGCAACTGTGCACCATCATGTTTTGTATCCCAGGTCGTAGATCATCTGCTTATCAAAGGCAATGAGGAGCCCAGATGGGGATGTGCTGCTTTGCTCATACACGGATTTGTATTCTGCTTTCATATTTGCTTTGCTTTCTTTTTTGTGTGTGAAACTAAAAGAGTATGTGGACTTGCAGTTAGTTGTCCTGGGTTTGTCTTTCAATATGTTGCTAATTTTACAAGTTTGAGGCTTGTGTTG